CTTTTTCATGTCAGCAGAATTTGCACTTCTCACTGTCATGTGCTACGACCGCTATGTGTCCGTCTGCAAACCCCTGCACTACGGGACCCTCCTGGGCAGCAGAGCTTGTGCCCACATGGCAGCAGCTGCCTGGGCCTGTGCCTTTCTCAATGCTCTGCTGCACATAGTCAATACATTTTCCCTGCCCCTATGCAATGGCAATGCCCTGGGCCAGTTCTTCTGTGAAATCCCTCAGATCCTCAAGCTCTCCTGCTCACACTCCAAACTCAGGGAACTTTGGCTCATTGTGCTAAGTGCTCTTCTATATTTTGGTTGTTTTGTGTTCATTGTTTTCTCCTATGTGCAGATCTTCAGGGCTGTGCTGAGGATCCCCTCTGAGCAGGGACGGCACAAAGCCTTTTCCACCTGCCTCCCTCACCTGGCCATGGTCTCCCTGTTTGTCAGCACTGGCTTTTTAGTCTACTTGAAGCCCCCCTCTATCTCCTCCCCGTCCCTGGATCTGGCCCTGTCAGTTCTGTACTCGGTGGTGCCTCCAGCCCTGAACCCCCTCATCTACAGCCTGAGGAACCCGGAGCTCAAGGATGCCCTGGGAAAACTGGTGACTGCAACTTCAGAAGCAAGAAATTCTCTTTTCTGCTACAGAACCTTCAGAATATAACTCTTTAGAATCTCAGACTTTTCCCCTTATTTGTCTATTTTTTACTATGGCAAGTTTTTCTATTGTTGTAATGTTTTTCACAAAATACTGTAGTATTACTCTTAGCATTTCTACATGAATATCCAACTTTCTTTTGAAATAAAAAGACTTACAAGAGGCTTGTTCTCTTGCCATTTAAATAAAAGCAAGTTCTTGCTCTAACCTGTCTGTCCAGGATTCTTCCTGAGCTCTTCTCTGTCTCTGCCTTTGAGCAGAGGTGAAGGGAAGAGGCTCTCAGCACAGCAGCACAGCCAGGAACAATGGCCCTGGCTCTTCCCACACCTGCTCTGCCGAACTCCAGCCTGTCCTTCCCAGCCCTGCTGTGGCTGTAAGGCCGGAGTGCTCTGGCAGCTTGGTCACTGTCCTGCTGCGTGTCCCTGCTGTGGCCACAGGCAGGGCCAGGCCATGGGCACTGCTGGGACACAGCTGGGCTCCAGCACAGCAGCTCCATCAGCAAAGGGCATCTCCTGAGGGCAGGGCAGGGAGGCTT